TCTTTATCAAGACACTCATTCACACTGCACTAACTTGGGACGAACACGTCTGTGCAGCAAGCACGCCTGTATCAGGCCCTTCCTGGGAGGGACAGGTGCTGCATGCAGCAGCCTGCTTGTCCATACTCGGACGCAGACAGGACCCCTGATCCACACGGATGTGCAGTTCAGATGTGCGTATGACAGCATACGCACATCCATAGGGAAGAACAGGCTGCATGCCACACGCTTGTGTACGGCCCATGTTAGAGCTGTGTGAATGAGGCCTTATAGTTTGCAGTCTGTAGGAGATTGTTGTTAAATAATAAACGCCTTCCAACAAAACATTTTCCATAGTAAACAGAACAACAGAACTTGATGCAAATGTTCTTTATATCACTAATAATGTATTAATTTAAAGCACAGTAGTGAATAAGCAATAAACTGTATGCTGCAATGATAAATGCTTTGGAAGCAGAATTATACCTAGAATATTTGGCACCCAGGACAGATTGTTTTTTTAACAATCCCTCATGCTCCTATATACATCACTTATTTCTAGTAATAATCAATAAAAAGAAAGCTAATAATGGGCAAGGAAATATGGACTCAGTATAGATGTTCTTTATCTTGATGTTGCATATCAAATAATGTTTCAAATTAAAGTGGTTAAAAGGCGCTTTGATAGTGACAGGCCTACAGGAGCTAAATTATAATAATATGGTCCTCTAAACTGCAGTGACCTGACAATTTCTAGGCAAAAAATGGTAATCCTGACAATATATGGCCTACAAATAAGCAATAATATACAATTCAGAGGAAACAAACAGTCAATTGTGTCAATATGTGAGCAACAAATAGGCAATCATGACACCTTGCAGGCAACAAGCGGGCAATTGGGACAACCTGGGCGGCCAACTAGTGAGGAATTGTGACAATATACAAAGAATAAACAGGCAGCTGTGATAATATATGACAACAAAATGGGAATTCTGACAATACCTAGGCAGAAAATGAGCAATTATGACAATATGCAGCCAACATATGTCCAATTGTGACAGAAAGCAGGCACACTACTACTATGCTGGTGCATCTGCAGAGCCGCAGCTACAGCTTTGCAGTAGCCTTACATAGCATTTCTATGCAGGCGGGTGGAGGGGGATGGTCCCATAGATCCTCCCAGCTTACTGTTCCGGAATGGACCACTCTCTCACTCCATTACCCCTAGGTATGCCGCTGTTTGGAAGGTAAAATATGTACTTTTCTAAATTAAAGTTTTCAGTAGATTATGTGCCATGCTTATGGCCAACTATAGACCTGTAGCCTTTATACTAGGGATGCACCAATACCGGTTTTTCGATATCGAGTACGAGTAGCGATATTTTTTGCGGTACTCACCAATACCAAGTACCGGTGCCGTGTGCCCCGATTGTCAGGAAGTCGGGCGGCAGATCATGCCCCATCGCCCAGCTTCCTGATTGCCTGGGAAGCCGGTGTTCTAACGAAAGAACACCGGCTTCACTTACCGAGGCTGCCTGGCTTCCTGACCAATCAGGAAGCTGGGCGGCGAGTCATGAGGTGCCATCCGGCTTACTGATTGGTCAGGAAGCCAGGCTACCTAGCAACAAGTGAAGCCGGGTTCCTAGACAATCAGGAAGCCGGACGGCACGTCATGACCTGCATCCTGGCTTTCTAATTGTCTAGGAAGCCGGCTTCACTTGTTCCTAGGCAGCCTGGCTTCCTGACCAATCAGGAAGCCAGGAGGTGGGTAATTACGTGCCGCCTGGCTTCCTGATTGGTCAGGAAGCCAGGCTGCCAATTGGCACATGTGACTACACATGAGACCATGCACATCATCTCAGGGGAGGAAAAGGACTTTCCCTGAGAGATTTCATGAGATTACAGATGAGATTTCCCAGCATGACAAGGCAATCCCAGTGTGCATTACTTTGGCAAACTGAAGTCTTTTTGCCCTTTCAAAGCAGGAAGTGAATGCTCTGCAAGTGTAAGTATTTCAAAATCACAGCATTTTACATGTCTATGTTATTATTAATCATCATACATAGAGGGATGCATTGGTAGAACTAGATTTTTAGGTGTATAGGACCGCTTTAAGAGGCAAAAGGTTCCGGACAGGAATTACAGGATGCTAAGCATTGCTCTTTCAAAGTGCCTACAAATTTCTCTGAGTAACTTCCTTGCAGCATAGTTTTCTCAAAAGCTACAGATAGACTTTAAAAATAAAGAAGAAACAACATATGGTGATTTGCACATTAATAGCTCAGATGTATACCTGTTGTGCTCATAGCTATAAATGTTTTATAGCTGGATATTTCTATATATCTATATGGAGCAAGTTGCTGTGCCTGTGCATTAGAGCACAGGCACCTTGAAGATAATTTACAGGAAACACTGCCCAGTGCAGCCAAACCTTTGGTAGTGTAAAGGGAGATCAAAGGGCCTTTGAGGTCTGATTTGTTATGGTATACTACCTAAGACCCCATTAACACTGAGTTACATCCAAAAAAGCGATTTTGGGCTGAGCGACATTGAGTTACATTAAGCTACATGGAGCTACATGCTACAGTGCACATTTTGTCACGCTATGTAGCGCGACTTTTCGCAGGGACTTCGTAGCTGCTACATTGGGCTGTAACCAATCAAAAGCGGTATTGATGTGACATCATTCATTCCTTCTAATATTTCTGTGCAAAAGCTTCACCATTAAAATCTATGGGGCCAAATCGCACAAAATCCGCTGAAAAATAGGTCATGTTCGAGCTACAAGCTTGAGCGACGAGCTACAGGTGACATTGAGCTGTGAGATGTGAACAGCTTCATTGAAATGCATTGGACAAGCTACATTGAGCAACATTGAGCTGATATTAGAGCGATTTTGAAGCTGAAATCGCGTGATAAATCGCTCAGTGTGCTGCCCTGAGCATTAATTACTAAGTGGCTGATGTCAATTTTTACACAGAGTATCACAGATGCTATCTAGGGATTACTAAAGGGTTGTGATACAACAAAGGGAACATTAAAGAGTTTACACCAGCCTCTGTGCACTGGTACTGTTAGATAGAATAGAAAATGAATAGTTAGGTTTACTTTCAGTTAATGATAGGGTTATCAGTTCAAAATGTGAAAAAAAGATGTTCAGGATGCTGAACCGGTAAGATGGATGGCACCATCAATCATAAAAGCACAGATGCATCACAAGTACATAACATTTCTTCAAGAAGAAAGTTTATTTACATTGTGATTTGTAACAGCAAAAGAGCAGCATGACCAGGGCTGGATTTCCCACAAGGCCAACCGAGGCCTGGCCTCAGGGCAGCAGGGAGTAGAGGGGCAGCAGGAATGTGGAATTCCTATCTCCCTACGCCCGGGACATTCAGTTCTGGGCGCCGGGTGGGCAGTTGTTTTCTACATTTAGCCCTGCTTTGGGCAAGCCGTGCTAAATGTACAGTGGGGAAGCCACCACTTGTTTTGTACAAGTGATCTTGGCGATGTCGACGAGATCACTTGTATGCAGCCTGCATACAGGGGGTGCATTGAGGAACCTGGCCTTGGGGCAGCAGGGAGAGTAAATCCGGCCCTGAGCATGACCTCACAATCCCATGACACTTAGATGACGTTTGGAATATATATATTTTTTACAAATATATTAATTTACATTTTGTATTCATTTTTAATCAGGCAAATAAGAAATTCTGTAAATAAATAATCTAGATTTACCACTTGCAGCCTACAAGTAGTATGTTCCAAGTAATAGCTGGTGGCTTTGAAATCCCTAGGCCTAAAAAAAAGTATCTTTTTTCATTGATAAATTCCTCTGATTACCATGTGGGTGGGTCATTTCAAATGGATTTTACTTGTCTGGGGAAGGAGAGAGCAGCTATGGGACAGCAGTTCTCAGGGCAGGACTGCGAAGAGGAGAAATCGTTTTACAAATCGGTAGCAGCACTAGGAGGGGACATTTTTTTTATCACTGCACATACAATAGATAATAATTTCATGGTACTGTATCCAACATTTTGTGTTTAGCTAATTTATTTGCGAATTATACAACCATAGAAAAATATTTTACATTTAATTTGTCAAATATTCTGTAGGCAGTACTGTTGTTGCCCCAGCAGGGGGTGAGATTCTTCCATTGCTACCAGCATCCTGCTATCTCTCTATTCCTGTACCTTTCATGAGAATGCTAGGATGCAACATGAAGCGCAACTTATTTTTAACAGCCACACTTTCCTGTCTGTAACAGAAGGACACAAGGTATGATCCTGAATCAAAAAACCTTGCAGAGTGGCATGCAAAGTAAAAAAAGTGCTAAATATGTTTCTGGTTACATTTTCATGGGATTTAAGGAGGGAAAGATAGATTAGATAATAAAATTATGTTTTAAGCCCATTAGTCTAATCAAATGAGGTAAATAAAATTACACTTTACCAGATTACCAGATTCTAACAAGGATGTGCTGCAGAAGGTTTAAAGATGGTAAAAACCTGATAAATTGCTACAAGCAAAAACTTTTGCTGCAGTTCAGTTTGCAATAGTAAAATTAAGTGAATTTGATTGATTGATTGATTTGAAGTTCTGTGCAGAAAATTCATAGTAGAGATTACTGGTCACAAGAATAATCAAATGATAATGGTCCTTAAAAATACTGCCATTTTATTCTATTAGTAACTGATAAAATCATTGCTAAATTAATTGAAGATTGATGATTTTGTTATAATCTGAAAGGTCTGTAGTTTTCAGCACAAGCCTGTACTTCATACATTAACAAGTCTGTCCCACTAGAGTCCGATGTTGGCACATAGTGTTTCCCCAGGGAGGAGAAGTATTGAGAGGATAAGTATATAGCCTGGACAGTCTGTGTGTCTCTTGTACCCTCTATCCATCTCATAGCACTGACACTGGAGCATTCTCCTCTTCTGTGCACTCCTCCCAACTTAGAACTGACTACATGTAATGTGACTCTGTTTGTTTTTTTTCTTTTTTTACATCCCATACAGGGCAGCAGCTGGAGCCCAGACACCTCGGTCCCACAAAGTGTATCCGTCCCCTAGCAGCCCAAACTCCATCAGAAGCCCAGAACCCCCCACTTCCTGGGGTACATCCCCATCCATCTCCAACACACCTGGTCAACCCCGACTGCTGCACCTGGAGAGCATTACCTCTCCTCCTGATAGTGAAGCCTACTACGGGGAAACTGACAGCGACGCTGACATCAAGGCATCACCAGGCCATCTCCAGAGTGCACAACAACATCATACCCAGCAGCAGGCACAGCCAGAAAAGCATCGGAGGGCACGAAAGAAAAGTCCAAGATCACCACCTGGAAGCAGCAGCAAGGCAGAGAACGAGCAGCAATCACTATCTGAGATGAGTGGGTATGAAAGTGGCCCTGGAGGTGCAACTGATGATGTCTTGCAGTCAACAAGTGGAGTGGCCAAAAGAGAAATAACATATGAGCCTGATGGTAGCAGAGCTGAAACCCCCTTCTCAGATGTGGAAGGCTTCCTGCCAGTTGAAGAGCCTGAACCAATATCCGATATCACTGCAGACTCACCTGAGTCTTTACTTCTGCCCCACACTACCAAGAACATCAGAGCCGAGAGGCATCTTATTCCTATGATAGGACCGGTGGATCACCCTGTAGATGAAGATCTGACCACAACCTACTCGGATAAAGCCAAAGAAGCAAGTAAGTAGGAACTTTCACCTGTCTCCAGAAATAATCCCCATCAACCCTGTATTTCCTAACACTAAATTTTACTCCTAGAAGTGCTCTCATTAATGCGGCAGTTGTCAGTAATATTTAAATGCCAGATGAGATATTAAAGTTCTGTCTCTGCATGCATAAACTTTTTTTGGTAGTGGATTAAATGTCATCAACTTTTAGTAGATGGTCTGCTTCTGTGGTTCTAGTTTTCTACTTAACCAAGGCCAGATAGGATTTCAGCAGTCTGAGCACAAATTAAAGTATCCTGCTGTTAGAAAACTGATCCTTCAATTGCTGCTCCTTGTTTACAATTATCTTTTCTAATATTCTTTTTCTGGCTGTGTGACACTGATATTCAAATTTTAAATCATGGCATACTGCATGAGTTCATCAGTAGGAATTTGTGTCCATTTGCTGTGTATATTTTCTTAACAGTCTTGTTTATACAAGGGTATAACATTTCTGCAGGAGAGTAGGATTGAACATTCATTTCCTATGAGAAGAAATCAACAGATTTATACATCATTTGTGAATGGTGATGATCAAGTAGTGCAGAGATTCAGGGAGCTATGACCAGCATCTCTGTTATTGCACAGGGATCTCCCAATATGGTACCAAATGGTGACCTTTACTTTCTATATGGGGAAAAGAGAAGGAACCTTCACAAGGCATGTTCAACATTAGTTTAGACAGGGAGAAGAGGGGGAAGATTGTGGCAGACCATGGAAGTGCTCAGATTTGAGCAGTAATTGGAAGATCTCTCCACACACATCAATTTAGGCAAGATATACTGTATGTTCACATATGGTCACCCTAAACCAGGCTATATATCTTTTAATTCAGCTGCTGATTTGTTAAAGGTTAACTGCACTATCATAAAAAGCACCCACAATCACATCAAATCAGGAACAAATCTACCCCTCCAATATTCCATACTTCTGTCTAACACTGTAAATGGATTGTTATAAGTTATTTGGGGAAAGGGTAACGAATCCTTACCTGGGGTAAGATATTTTCAAGTGTGCTCACAATCTCTTCAACCGATGTCTGAACTTTATTAACCTGTTGTGGGTGATGCTCAGGTTGCTGCTGCACATGTGAAGGGATAATCTGACTGTTTATGGATCCAAAACTTTAGGGCACCCATATCAGATGAAATATTACCTGACATACGCAGATTTGTATCCAGTTTTCTTTCTGTTCTTTTCTGTGATTGCAAAGCTAATTAAGGAGAATGGTTCTGTGAGTTACTTTACAAGCCTCTGGGAAGCTTGTCTTAGATGCAGTGAATGGTTTAGTTTATGTTAGATCATTTAAGGGTCTGATAACTCTTAAAGGTTAACTGCACTATCATAAAAAGCTCTCACCATCACAACAAATCGGCAACAAATCTACCCCTCCAATATTCCATACTTCATTTTTGGTGGTGATCTGCATTTAGCTGTTTGGCTTGTTCCCAGATGCCACAAGCTGTACCTACATCCTATTCAAAATCTGAGCAGAGATCCTAATGACCAGCATCTCTGTTATTGCACAGGGATCTCCCAATATGGTACCAAATGGTGACCTTTACTTTCTATATGGGGAAAAGAGAAGGAACCTTCACAAGGCATGTTCAACATTATTTTAGACAAGGAGAAGAGGTAGAAGATCGTGGCAGACCATGGAAGTGCTCAGATTTGAGCAGTAATTGGAAGATCTCTCCACACACATCAATTTAGGCAAGATATACTGTATGTTCACATATGGTCACCCTAAACCAGGCTATATATCTTTTAATTCAGCTGCTCAATGCTATATGTTCAAATTTTACTCACCTGAATTCTGAGGACAAATGCCAGAATGATAAATCCTACATGGGTCCTGAGGCTGAGAAGGGTAGGGTGTTCTTTCTATTCATGGGCAAATGATCATATTGGTAGATCTACCCATCATAGTAACGATCAACACACAAACAGTCAGTCATTTTGCCTCTGTCTAACACTGTAAATGGATTGTTGTAAGTTATTTGGGGAAAGGGTAACAAATCCTTACCTGGGGTAAGATATTTTCAAGTGTGCTTACAATCTCTTCAACCGATGTCTGAACTTTATTAACCTGTTGTGGGTGATGCTCAGGTTGCTGCTGCACATGTGAAGGGATAATCTGACTGTTTATGGATCCAAAACTTTAGGGCACCCATATCAGATGAAATATTGACCTGACATATGCAGATTTGTATCCAGTTTTCTTTCTGCTCTTTTCTGTGATTGCAGAGATAAATAAGGAGAATGGTTGTGTGAGCCACTTTACGAGCCTCTAGGAAGCTTGTCTTAGATGCAGTGAATGGTTTAGTTTATGTTAGATCATTTAAGGGTCTGATAACTCTTAAAGGTTAACTGCACTATCATAAAAAGCTCCCACAATCACAACAAATCAGCAACAAATCTACCCCTCCAATCTTCCATACTTCCTCTTTGGTGGTGATCTGCATTTGGCTGTTTGGCTTGTTCCCAGATGCCACAAGCTGTACCTCCATCCTATTCAAAATCTGAGCAGAGATCTTAATACATGCAGCAGGATGAGAGGACCTGCTGAAGAGAGTAATGGCAGCCAACCTGACATCCCAGCACATGTGTCGCAGACTGTCAGCATTCTCTGTGATAAGTCATTTCATCATCCTGGTTCCTGAGCTGGCATCTATTTTCAGATTTTAAACTAAAAGGAGCAAAGGCTGCAGAGGCTGTGGATAGGCCACACAGATAAAATCTGATCAGTACAGATGATGTAAGGGATCTTATGAATGGGAGTTATTGTTAAGGACCGGGGGAGGGTATTTGTGTAAAAAAAAAGGGGGTCTTTATAGGAAAACCTCATGTATGGTAATATTTAAGGCCCTAAAATGCCGGTACTCATTTTTCTTTTGTTGCTTTTATCATCACCTTTTCTATACCAAGCAAGGAACATCCCAGTTTTGCATGGTCTATATAACTTCATGCTTATTCCTGTTGTGTTTAGGGCCATTGACTCCTCATAGATTTAATGGGATACAAATAACAACACAAAGACAATTGGTATGCAGTAATCTTTTTAAACTAATCAGGAATAAGTTTTTATTAGTCACTTAACTGTAAGTTCTGAATACTGAATTTTCATTGTCTGCTGTGATTTACTGTACATCATTGCTGCTTGCACCAATGAGTGCTAGAGTACTATCTGCATCTTTTTTTAATTTTCTGTGTACACTGTACAGCACATTCACATGGAAATCTCACATGTGATTCATTCATTATACTGTAGAATTAGATTGTAACATGGTTGCCAGTTCTCATGAACTGCACCATAATTGCTTAGACTTTAGGCTCCAAAATTCAGATCAATGTAATTTAATGTCAAAATTGCCAAAAAACACATCGAAGGAATGGGCATTTTTTTAGTCATGGTTAAGGGAAGAAATGGTTGCAACTCTTGTCAGTTTGTTTTTGCTGTCTATGTGCTGTCTTCACTACCTGTCCAAGTGATGCAGCAGAGTGAGAGGAAATCCATTATTAGACAGCTGTCACCAGAACAAGTGTCTTCATTGGGAGATTTCATATCAACCTTTCTGGTGAAAACTGCAACTGATTTCCCATTGCATTCTTTCCTGTGACAATGATCACCAGGAAAAATAGAGACGATGAATCTATCCAACATAGAAAGCCAAAAAAACTGATGAGGTTTGTAATCATTTCTCTACACAATTCAAACATTAAAAACATTTTTTTAGCTACAGACACTGTAAACTTTTATCTCATTTTCATGTTAATGTAAAGAATAAAAATACTACAGTCCCCTTCAAGCAGGAATCAGCTATATTTGTGGGGTTAGCAGACTTTGCAAGGGGTTAAAGGAATCTCCTGAGGCATGAAAAGGTCCTGTTAAAGTGACACTAAACTCAGGAATTAAATCTTAAAAATGCTTTCAAGTAGCTTCACCATTAATAAAAATGTATCTTATTTGTGTATCACTCGGTTGCAGAACCTAAAATCATCTCTGAATTGGTGCTGACACTGTCCTTCCTTTTGGAGGGTGGATACTTTTGTTCCCTATGATCCCTGTGTGTGTTGCAAAGTAGCCATCGCTCCAAGATCATTCCTGTGATCGACTACAATCTCATGTTTAGTTTACTAATTTGTATTGTGATTGTAGTTTAGTGTCACTGAGTATACAGTACCTAATATAATAGTGTAATACCCCTAGCCAATCAGAATTCATCATTGTACTGTACACTGAAGGCTAAATTGGTTACTATTACTTACTGTGCACTACCTTATCAAATGAAGGTTGTTACACAGCCTTAGGGTACACACCTGTATAGATAGAGATCAAGAGGAAATTTATAATTTTATCATATCTTCCAAATAACAACAAAGGCACCTTTAGAAATGTTTAGTAATGACAATCTACAAACACATACTTCTAGATAATTGCAGGATTTTTACATATCTTATTTTTCTTTTCTTCCCCATTCTTCTCAGTGGCCATTTTAACTAAGGGCAGGTTACTAGATCTTCCTATTCTTCCTGGAACTCTGTTACATGTGTCTAGGACATGTGACCATGCACATCATCTCAGAGGAGGAAAATGCTTTTCCCTGAGATCTCATCAGATTACAGATGAGATTTATCAGCAATCCTCTGCTGATGTACTCCTCCCAGGATGCAATGCTTGGGCACAGATTACATCATTTTTGCCAAAGCGGACCCGGAAGTGTAAAAAAGAAATTGTACGTAAAATAGAAATATGTTTGTTCAGCTAATAAATGTTAGATGATTTCATATCAGCATACAGAGCTGTATGCTATTTGATTTTTAGTCAAAGGGGGTAAAGGTTCACTTTAAGGAATGTCTTCTGATTGTTTAAAATAGGCTATCTAACCAATCCAGTTTAATTTTACTGTTGTCAGAGAGTGAAGTTAATTAATCATTAAAAGATGAATTCTGATCAGATCTGGTTCATATGGA